TTTTTGAAGAAAGTATTTTTGTAGTTGCTTTTTACTGCATAGATGCTGTTGATAGATTAGGTTGCTTTGTTATGCCTTTCTTATATTATTTTTCTCATAGTTTCAGATGCTTTTTCTAAGCATAAGAGCCATTTTATGTTCATTCCCCTGAAGTGTTTCAGATTTGACTGGGCCAAAAGTCAAAAGCCAAAAGCAGTAAGTTAAAAAGTTACTTCCTCTTAATATCCATTTATGTGTGGATGCTAGGCTTATTTCTGGTTTTATTTAGTGTGAGTCAATCCTGGAGCCATGATGTCTATAATTTAAGAACAAACAAAGCAAAATAAAAACTTATTTTATTTAGCAGCTGAATATCAAAATAAATCAGAATTTATGTTTAGAAGTGCAAGGAATGTGCCTTGAGTTTTTCTACAGTTAGGTGGTGCTATTACACTAAAGACCTAGTTCTAGAAAAGGGTAGTATTTTATTTAGTGTTCAGTATTCCTAACATCTGTGGATCAAAGTGCTGAATATGCAGGAGACACTGTATTTTATGCAAGAGAGAAGGAAAGAAAGAAATAGAACAAGAACAGGAAAGTCATATTCTGGACTACATTACTAGATAGTGTTAAAATCAAAATACATGTATTATACATGTTGCTTATCATGCTTATAACAGACTGGGTACCAAAACAAGAAAAGGGGTATGGAGCAGGTGGGGGGGGGGCATTCTATAGATACTATGGCCAGGATGCAGAAAAATCCTGCTTTAAATAAATGAAACCGTGCCCCCAACCCCACTCCTACCCAGCAGCTGTACATCTCTGCTTCTTCTAAGTGGCAATGGAAAGGCCTATATTTCCTGTGCTTATTGCTGCTTGTATCACCACAGCGTATGCCTTCAAAAAAGGCTCTAGCCTGTGCAGTTAGATTCATTCCAAATTTTCCACCATCACTCTAGCCATTGTGTCACCTGTTTCATTACCTCCAGCTCCCCAGAAAACCAGGATGCTGGGGTGGCTCTACTCCATGAGGAAGGGCACTCATGCACAGCTCTGATCATTTCTGCATTGCAGGGATTGGCTAGGGCTTTGTTGAGGCAACAAGAAAATCCCCAAGAGCTATCAGGAAGCCATCTGAATCCACTGGTTTCCTGGCATAATCTGTCTCAACTGGTCTTCCACCCCTGCAGGGGTTCTGAGTGCCAGCAAGTCTAAATCCCAGCCGGTAGTGATCTGTTCATGGCAACAGAACTACAGACAGCTCCTCCACACTCAGATCACTATCATCTTGTTCAGCACAGAAAACATGATCAAACTTGTGGCTGGCAGTATAGGTGGGGTCAAATACTATATGGGACCAAGCCATGGTTATCACAGCTGGTATGAAGGTCTGAACTGCTCCTGACAGGATAGTTTCAGCATGGATGATGAAGTTCCTCTGCACTACAAGCTGACAGGTTCCCGACACCAACCCTGGTTAGCACAGGAAGGGGCAGTATTGAACAGAGGAGTGGTCAGTACACCAACAGAATCTCTACTTTGACTTGACATCCACCTTCAAATAAGCACACTCAAATCCAGCAGTCTGTGGAACAAGTACCTCAATAGCAGGATAGAATTCCAATAGACAGCTGCTACTCCGCCTCCGTCCCCAGGTCTTGTCTGCTGCTAGATAGAGAACTCTGACGGGCAGAGCTGGGTGAGGCTACCCCCCCTCCCTTCCACAGCTGCATCCAACCAGGTCTCTGTGATACAGACCCGGTCAGCACAATCATTCAGGATCAAACCCTGCATAGCAGTTATTTTATTGCTCATTGATCTGACATTCATCAGGAACAGTTTCTCTTCTCCCAAGAGACTTTTTCAGTGTCATTGGCTGCCATTACCGATTCATGATCCTTTCAGTGGTACCCCCACTGAGACCTGGCTTTTATGCTCCCAGAGTAGTTGCATGTGGGAGTGGGGTGGGCCTGTGCTGGACCTGAGTCTGCAAGGAAGCCAGTCAGAAGTCCCACAGGAAGTTTCAGCCTCGGCAAGGCAGCAATGGCAACAGCAGCACTAGATGGCAACTTGCCTTGCAACTCTGGTTCAAACATTGAAATGCTACACTTATTGTATTGTATTTTTGCATTTTAGTTAATTATATAAATGGTTATCAACCGCCCAAAGTCTTTCTGTACTGTACTTTATCCATATAATGTGTGTTCAGTGTAACATGCATCCAGTTTAGGCTCACAGTTCTTGAACTTGAAAGTGATGACACATGCAGAAGATTGTTTCCATTATTAGATCTCTTTACTTGGATCCAAAGAGTAAATATAAATGGAGACAAGGAGAAAAGGCAGAATGTGTGTTGGATGACTTCTTTAGCCTTGTCCCCCTTCTTTGCTGATAGGCCACAGGAAGTAAGAAGATTTTTTGTGGATATATATTTGTGTATGAAGATATGCACTTCTATTTGTACTGTCTGTGTTGACATGGAATTATTTTGCCCATAAAGAATAACAGCTCTATTTGTTTTATTTACAGAGAAATTGTGGGTGGGGGTGAGGTAGGGACAAGGTAGGGGCTTAGCCTTTGGACTTCTAACTCTGGGTTTCCAGGACTTCAGAACTGGGACTCTGAAAAATCCTATGGCCTCCCAGATGTCTAAAAATATCTAAAAACAAAAAAGTAAGTTAGAGGCAGAAAAATTCCCAGAAAGTGGAGCAATAAACAATTAGCATTAAAGCGGGGCAGATGGAATACAGAAAAACTAGATGTATTATTTGTTGTAATCTGCTGTGCAAAATATGCTAGCATGCTTGAATCACCCTAACCCATGGTAAGGTCATTAGTTCAGTTCATGAAATGCCATCAAAGTGCATGAGTACATAGCCAAAGAATGGAAGGGTTTGCTGTAAGATTAGTTAAATGCCTTTTGCCATGATATACTAAGAACATGGAATAAGAGCAAATATATTTCACACCATAAATATTTAATTACATTCTTAAAACATCCTTGACTTACCCCAGAAATAAAGTTCTGTAGGAATGTTGTACATAAAGGAGTTAAGCTAACTGTAAAATGTGTGAAAATAATCATAGGAATTCACCACTTATGCCAGTTTGTATTTTTAAAAGTTTTCCATTCTTGACTCTAACAGAGCTGATTTATCCAGGTTACGTTTTGGCAGTATGGGACCTTCTACTGTAAGCTGTAAATATTGGCTAAAATGTGCCCTGTAACAGAACAGTAGACATCTGTAGCACCTTGAAGTCCAACAAATCTATTGTGGAATAAGATATCATAGACTTAGTAAAAGAAGTAAATATTGGGGTCAAGTTTCATGAAATGCTAAAATTACGACCTCTGACAATTCAGTTGCATCTAAATTTGTGCAAAATAACAGTGATAGTACTCTTAATGTTGTGAGCTGATTGATATAGTAGGGCAAAACCCTATCATCCCTGTTCAATTCCAAATGAATCAAATCAAACATACTTTGAAATTTTCTTTGTGGAACAAGTAATATTTCACATCAGCTGTAAAGAATTCACTGACTTCTGGAAGTTGTTCTTTCTAATATCAAATTTGTGTTAATTGTTTTCTGCAGACACTGCCTCTACTATGTAGTAGATGGATACTGTTGGCAGGTAATAGCATACAATATTGGCCAATTAATCTATTAGATGTTCTAGGAAAGATTTCCTTCAGAAAAAAATTGGAAGACTGGGTGGAGAATTATGCATTGCTTGCCCCAGAATAGGCTGCTTTTGTCCAGGTCGTTCAACTCTAGACACTCTAGATTATTGTTTAATATTGATAGATATCTGGCTGGAATTGTTAAGCATGTTTAAGAAGGCTGAGCGCAAAAGAACTGAGGCCTTTGAATTGTGGTGCTGGAGGAGGCTCCTGCGAGTCCCTTGGAGTGCAAGGTGATCAAACCTAGAAGAGATCAACCCTGACTGCTCTTTAGAAGGCCAGATACTGAAGATGAAACTCAAATACTTTGGCCACCTAATGAGAAGGAAGGGCTCCCTGGAGAAGAGCCTAATGCTGGGAACAATAGATGGCAAAAGAAGAAGGGTATGGCAGAGGATGAGGTGGCTAGATGGAGTCACTGAAGCAGTTGGTGTGAGCTTAAGTGGACTCGGGGGGATTGTGGAGGACAGGAAGGCCTGGAGGAATGTTGTCCATGGGGTCGCGATGGGTTGGACATGACTTCACGACTAACAACAACAACAATGCAGGTTTTATTGATCTGAAAGCTACTTTTCGATTCTATTCCTCACAAACATTTATAGAGCAGTTTACAATCTATGGGCATTGACCTACAGCTCCTAAAATGTACAGCATCCATATTCTTCAACATCCATGCAAATAAGATGGACAATACTTATCTAACTCCATACCAGTTACAAAAGGAACAGGCAAGGGTGCTTACTTATCCCACTTCTCTTCAGTTTTTAAAATGGTGTAGTAAAGTTCTTGAGAGGTGATGGGTGGTTGAAAGTGTCATCCTACATGCGGATGACATAATCCTAATGTCTTACACCCAGTTGGTCTTCTGAATATATTTTAGGAATGAGCTTCTTTTATTAGTTATCAAAAAACAAAAATAATTGTATTTGGTAAATCTAAGAAGACTCTTAATTGGTCACTTGATGGGCATAAACTGGTGCAAGTTCCTCCTTTAAGTACCTTGGTGTGGTCTTTCAGTGGATGGGTGCATGGTCTTTACAAGTACAGACAAGCACCTTTTCAGCTGGTAGGACATTAAATAGATAATTATGGTTTTATCATACAAAAAGTGGAAATTAGTGCAGCTCACCCTTGAATTGTATTCGACTAGGATTTTGCAAAAATATGCAGCTCCATTACGGGCTGTAACCATTTGAAAGAGAAAATGATTTTTTGCATAGTTTTGGCAGTTCCTGCAGCCACAAAATTAAAATTGGTTTCATGCAGAACTTGATGTAATGATAAAGGTGAAGTTATTGTTAACATGAATAACATGAATAACACATACACTAAATAGGTAATTAAGGTAGCCACTTTTATACAGTACTGTTATAGGTATTCAACCATGATGAAATACAATTTGTACTATATGCAGGTTACAGTCCTCAGGCAGTAATATAAAATACATATACAAGTTCAGCATGCAATGGCCACAATCCAGTGGCTTCAAGACACACACACTGCTTGGTTCATACAGGGGCTTCTTCTTTTTCCTCTGTGAGCAGGGGAAAGTAGCACACATTAAGAATCCCTGTAGATGTGTAGAATATTCCCCCTTGAAATAGAATGTGAGGTCCCTGTGATGGAAGGTCTTGCATTGTGTCCCAACCTGTCAGTTGGAGTAACAATTATTTTACAGTATATGGTATATTTGTACTGGCTCTGCAGAGAACCCCCCCCTTGCAAAAAACCCTATTGGAATTATATGTGGTTAATATTTGGTGTACATATACTTCTTTTTCCAAAGGAGTGTATAATTTTAAGGGGAAACTACATGAATAAATACTAAAAATTTTGAGGCTATTAAGTGTATGGCTTAATCCTGGCTTTCAGGTAACTACAATTATTTAAATATTAACTAGTCTGTATTGACATATTAGACCTTCAGATTAATATTACAGTACTTTTAAAAGTTTCTTCTTAGCCAGTTTAATTTACTTTTGTTAACTTAAAAGTTCATAAACTTCCACTTAACATCTGATAAATACTTATATAGTATTTGTACTTATACAATACACAAATAATTAGTTTCAACAGAAAAAATCTTTTAAATCTTTGCATTATTTTCTGGTAAGAAAGAAATGCAAAGTTAACATACGTAGCTTGGAAATGATAGTTTCCAGTTAAGTTTTCAGGAAGCCTTTTATTCAAATGTTTGATTAATATATATGAGTTGTACATTTAAAAGAACATATCAAAGGAATTTTGTGGTTTGTTATGTTACTAATTTACAAACTGAAATTATTGTATTGTAGGTATTTGTAAAGCAATTGGACTGTATAATCTGTACATTTTCAACAGATTTCAAGTACTATAAATCTGGTTGTAACATTTTAGGTGTGCAATCTTATTTTCCATAATTTGCAATTTGCACACTGTTTCTATTTAATATACAGCGAAATGTTCCTGGTTGGATATCCCAGTATTTCACAGGATTATTGAATAAGCTAATTCCACTGTATAATGTCTTTTTCAGCTTTCCTCCTGCTGGACAAAAGTCATTTACTCCCACTTTTGAAATACTATTAGAATGAAGGAAAACAACCTGTAAAGGGAAAAAGGAAAAAAAACCTTTGAAGAATCCATATACACAACATTTAAAGAATAACGCAGCTATTGAAATTAGATAGATGGGGAGTGTAGTCTTGCAAAGGAAGACCTAGTATGTTTGTTAATGTTTACTCCCAGGTAAATGAGCACAGACTGAGATCTTAGATATTGGGCAGGATCACACATCAAGACATAATGTCTAATTATCATAAATACCCTCTCTGGGCACAGCTTGTTGTCCACACTTAAGACAGGTAGGTGGCAAGAGCAGAATATAACGCATCCTGCGATCCATTGACCCAGGGTGGTTTTAAACTCACACCCCACCCTTGCTTGGTTTTGGCAACAGAACAAGCTATACCTGGTGAAGGTAGGCAGTGCATAGCTGGCATGTATGGACACGAAAATAAATCATAGTGGCTTATTTTTCTTCCCCAATTGTTCAAAACCAGTCATTGCATCTAGAACTGAAGAATAAGCATATTCATAGATGCACAGAAAAATAGTTTCATTTTCGTTTGTTTCTTTTTTCATTTCTTAGCTATTTTTCTGAGGGTACAACAAAAGGATTTAAAAAATCTAAAGGGCTGGATCCAGATTTAAGCTGTGGACTTGCCCATCCCTTGAAAATGCTACAGAAAGTGTTCACTGAACATTTGATTTAGAATTAAACCTAGGAACATTCTGAAACATCAGTGGAATGTAGTTGAGTTGCAGTCCAGAGTAAAGATATGCAATAGTAAAAAGTACATCAGCACAGGCATATAACTGATCATCATTAGTTCTGAAATAGAGGAGGGGTGGACAGAAATCCCTGTGTGACTTAGGGAAGGGTAAAGGGGTATGTAAATATTCATCATATTCTTCAACTGTTTCATACATAGGCAGTCAGACTTCATTATACCTGAAAGTAACCTTAAGGTGTAATCCTGTGCATGTTTGAACAGAAAAAGAGCCTATAACTCCCAGCATGTCACAGAATGGCTCGCTGGAATATTCTGGGAATTCTAGACTTTTTAACTGTCTAAACATGGATAGGATTCTGCTCTTAATCTGTTTCATTGTTCTGGTCATCCCTGTACACTTGCAGTTTATCCACTTTGTGCGTATCTATGTCTTTGGCTTTAGAATGTATTGTCTGTGTACTGTAAAATGTTAGATGTATGTTATAAGAATAAGTGTATTGTATATGCAATAGCAATGTTTTGCATAAGCAGCACAAGAGAAGGCAAGGTTTAAAAGTCTGCTAAATTCGATTACCTGCAGATACTTTAGATCTGGAAGACCAGAAGGCACTTTTTTCAGTTTGTTCTTTTCTAGATGTATTTCTCGCATATTTGGTATATTAGCAAAGGTTCCATTTTCTATATCTTTGATTCTGTTGTTTCCCAGCCCCAACCTAGAGATAAGTTAAGAAACATAAATAGGTGTGGCAATGTTTATGGTATCACCTGGAAACAATAAAGCCCTTAGCACCACATTGTTGTAAAATGGCCCTTGTCAACATTGTTGGACTAGGAAATTTGCAGCATTTCCCTTTCTAAATCTTCCAGACCGTCAAAAAACTATTGAAGAGCCTATAAAATATTTATCCATTGCATTACTTTTTCCGCACCCCACTATCTACCACATGGACCTTTCTAGTAGAGGCACTCCTTTAATGCCATTTATCTTTTTTCCTGTGATAGCTATAGGGGGTGATTTGTGCCAGTAGCATTACGCTTTGGTAATATAAGCATGAAATTTAGTGGAAATAAGGTTCCATTACAAACATTCTAAGAGCTGAAGTGAATAACACATTTGTATAGGATGGTTATTTTTCAGTATGGCTATCAGAAGATTTAAATTATATTTTCTCCTATGCAAGAAACAAAACAGAGTAATTTTCCTGAAACTTTGTGCACCAAAATTGCTGAGTATCACATAAATACATTCATAACAGTATGTTATGTATCAGAATGGCTCATTGATTATAAAATGCTTACAACATGGAAAAGAAAACTTCTGCTAGGCAAACAATTACTTTATGGTATCTACTGCCTCCACAGTATCAGCAACAAGTAAATTTAGCTACTCTCATACACTGTACTACAAGCCTTCCAAGATTAGTAGTATTAACAGAAATTATTACATTAACTGCTACTTTCATGCAACCCAGTACAATGAAATGTACTTGCATTTCATTGACCTATCTTCCTCCTCCTGGTTACATTGAAAAGACCTTTCCATCACAACATTGGAGCTCATCACAGAAGCACATTGCCTCTGGGATCCCCGTCCATAAAGGTTGCCTGCTGTCACTGTCTGTATTATATCACTCAGATATGCTGCAGGACTGTTGCTTGAGGGGATGGTAAATCATTAATGCCCGTTCTCATATTGTGGCTCTGTCAGTTTAGTGTTTGCTCTCATTCGGCAGTGTTGTCTTGCTAGGATTGTAATTGGTGCATCTGCCATAAATGTAATTATAGAAGTGACATTAGAAATGTATTCCAGTTTCTATAAGGTGGCTTTTCATCTCTTCCATCAGAATTGGATGCAGTGAAAGTATGGAATACAGGTTAAACTTTTTAGGTAGAGCAAGCAAGAGTGTTGACAATCTCATGAGGTATTCTACATCATAAGTTAATGCACACCCCCACAGCTATCCAAAGCTCATAAATGGGAGGTCTGTTAAATGATGAAAATTACTTCTTTTAATGGGATTGTTAAGTCTTTTTCTTATGAAAAATAGACTATATTTCCCCCTCCTCAATCTAACCCAAGTTTTCAGTCTTCTGAACCACAGCAGCTTTTCAGTGACATCTCTTGTGTCATGGTCAAGAAGATCATCAGTTTTTTTTCAAGGCAATGATTCTCCATCTAATACGGTCGCAAAAAAAAAAAAAAAAACATTTTACAGATGACTAGTGAACCCACATCATCTGCTCAGGATGTACACTAATTCTCTTCTCACATTGGTCTAACAAATAAAAGTAATAATAGCTCTAGGGATAATCCAGAAGTAAAACTGAGCACATTGCTGAGTTTTTATATTAAGACCCTAGGAAGAGACATGCTGGATCAGACCCAAGGCCTACCTAGTTCATCATTCTGCTCATACAGATGCTCATGGTAAGCCCATAAGCAGGATGTGAGGGTAACAGTACTCTCTTGTCATTATTACCCAGCAATTGGCATCCAGAGGTATACGCCTCTGTTACCGGAGGTAATATGTTTATTCAAAGCATTTTTATCCTGCTCTTCAGTCAAAAGATTCCCAGAGTCCCTTACAAGTATCAGCAATCAGAGAGGCCCTGCCCTCAGGTTCATAATCTAAAAAGACAGGAAACACAGGGAAAATGCATTGAGAGTGAGGAGGAGGGTTGCAAAACTTGATGGTGATGCTTTAGTTACCTAAATGGATGGGAATACATCAAATGAACTTATGTATGCACTGCATCCATTGTCTTTCTGGGTTTGCCTGTTTCTCTTTTCTGTCTTCTCTTGTTTTGTTTCTTTTGTATTCAGACCTACTTGATGGCTCTCTATCCCCTCTGGGCAAGATGCTCCTCAGAAGCCCTTCTGGGGACAGTTCTTGGGAGGAAAGGAGCTAGATGGTGGGAACTCACCAGGCCGTTTCTGCTTCATGACATCCGTCCATCATGACTAATAGTTGCTGATCTCTTTCTCCTCCATAAATTTGTTGAAAACCTTTTTACAGCTGTTCCAGTTGGTGGCCATCACTACATCTTGTGGTAGTGAATTCCACAGTTATAACTATGTTTTGTGTGCAGGCGCATTGCATTTTATCTGCTTAGGTATCTTGCCATTCAGTTTCATTGCACAATTTATTGATACATGGACTAGGATTTTTTCAAACAAAAATGTTTAAATTGCACACTACCACTTCCTCTATATATTTATTCTTTTGACTCCCTTTTGTAGGTTGTTTCAGATTGAAAGCTCCAAGGTTGGAGATAGCTCTAGAGCTGGGAATTGGAGCACTGATCCCCATCCGTGTCCCTCACAGCTAACGTGGAAATAACCGTATTGGCTGCTCTTTGGAGGCATTAAAGGGGCTAGTTTGGAGGCAGGGAGGGGAGGATACTGGAGTGGCCATGATACAAAGTAACCTGCAGCTGCTGCTGCATCCTTCTCTTCTGCTCCAAACCATCCCAGTTAGATGGCCAAAAAGAGCATCCAGCAAAAATGCAGAATGGGAGGAGACAGGAAGGCAGAGATAATCTCCACTGCTTCTTCCACTCTGCATAGGTCTCCCATAGTCCTTTGAGGTTGGGGACTTACAGACATCTTCACTGAATTGCATCTGTTATTTTATAATATGGAGAAAATCCTAATCTGTGTCTGTTATCATCACATCTGTGGAATTTCCCATATTTATGATTCACCTTTGAAGATTTTTATATCGAATAAAGTCTTCAAGCTCTACTGAGGAAATTTTGTTGTCATCTAGGTGAAGCTCCAGTAGGCTGGAGGGCAGCCCTATTAAGAACAGAAAGATGAAAGTGATTAAGTTAGACTCAAATATTTTCAAGAGCTAAGATATTATTAGGTGTGTTGGGATAAGATGAGGTAATGGTACATACGCAGCTCTAACTGTGCTGCCAGCCAAGGCAGTCATAGTTATGATGGAGATGCCCAGTCTCCCCAGGAATGTACTAAATTATAGGGCTGTTATGCAGATGGTATGTTGCACCATGGCAACGCCACATCCTCAGAATCCACTTCAGTCAAAACATCCAATGTCAGTAGATAGGCTTGACTACATCTGTGATGTTCTGTAGGAAAGTAGGAAGCTCCTTGTACCAAGCCATACCATAGTTCTATACCTTCATTTTCTATAGTCAGGTTTTCAGGTTATGGTGGGTACTTCCTGAAACCTGCAAAATGTTGTGTGTACTTTCTTAGCAGCTGGTAGGCAAGTTCATTTTTTCTCTACTAAAAATGTGCTAATCATTACCACATGTGAGATTTTTCCGGAGGATGTAGCAGTTACAATTTTGTGATTGTTAAGAATGTTATGAAAGCATAGCCTATGGAAAATTATAAGCATAACAGTATCTTGTTGTGCTCTTTTCATGCTGATCTGCTGAATAACTTTCCAAGTTAAATTTATAGAATCACCAGTACTTCAGAACTGTTGGTTCCTAGGCTTTGTGAATATCCAAAAATGGTTGTTTTTCTGGTTTACTTTGAAATTAAAGAGATGTAGGTCAATGAGCACTTCTGTGTTTTGAAAGCTTGCTGTTTATGAAATGCATGTATCTGTTTTCTGTGCTGTACCGTAACCTCAAGCATGCTTCTGGTTTCACTGTGGCTTAGGAAAATATTAAATATCCAGTGCTATTAGTTCTGGCAATGCTAGTATGAAAATATCAAAAGAGCAATATTTTCTCCTTAACACTACAGTTCTGCTGCCTTTTTTTCCTAGTGTAGGTAGTGATCAAAAAAATCTGGAAACTTTGAAACCAGGAAAAAATGGGGTTGTTCTGAGAGAAAATGGGCATTTGGGGACAAATAAGCAATACATTACAGCTCTAAGGTTGCTTTATTACTTTAGGACAGGCTTCCCCAACATTATTTATTTATTTATTTATTAAAACATTTTTATGCTGCCCCATTCGCCGAAGCCTCGGGGCGGCTTACAACAATAAATAAAAGTAATTATAATATAAATTACAATAAATATAAACATTAAAAATCCAAAAATACAATATAAAATAAGCCGCCCTGGCCAAATAAGATCAAACAGTTAAAATGCCGCTTAAATAAAAAGGTCTTCGCCTGGCGTCGAAAAACAAATAACAACGGCGCCAGACGGACCTCTCTGGGGAGTGCATTCCATAACTTAGGCGCCACTGCAGAGAAAGCCCTCCTCCGAGTACCCACCCTCCTAATTTCTTTCACGGAGGGTTCCCGGAGAAGGGCCTCTCCCGCTGATCTCAGGGGGCGGCCAGGCATATATGGATGTAAGCTCTCCTTCAGGTAACCAGGACCCAAGCCGTTTAGGGCTTTATAGGTCATCACCAACACCTTGAACATGATACTTCACAGTTTTTCATATTTTGGATTTCAGCTCCCATCAGTCCCCAAAACCACACCCAATTGTCAGGAATACAGGGTGTTGTACTCCCAAATATCTAGAGGGCATATGGTTGAAGAAGGCTATTTTAGGAGCATAAAAGTGAATATGAATAACTTGGTTTGTTCACAAAATCATCCGTAAAATTAAAAACTTAAAAATTAAATAAAGGTATAATTATAGTCTGAACAAATTATACTTTTCAGTCTAATATAGCATACTTCTCAGAAAGCAGGAATTGAGGTTTTTTCCGTGCCCAGAGAACAAGAGTAACCAGAAGCTTTGATACTTCCTCTCTTTCCTGATCTTGGAAAGATTCTTTTGCCAATGACCTTAGATTATTGATGACACCTTCCTAGAAAATAGCACTGGGTGTTATACCTGTAAAGGTAAAGGTAAAGCTTTCCCCATGACATTACATCCAGTCATATCTGACTCTAGGGGGCAGGGCTCATCTCTGTTTTTTAGCCGAGGGAGCCAGCATTTGTCCACAGACAGTTTCTGTGGTCATGTGGCCTTATGACTAAATGCCAAAGCACACCAAATGCTGTTGCCTTCCCACTGAAGCGGTACCTATTTATCTACTTGTATTTGCATGCTTTTGAACGGCTAGTTGGCAGGAGCTGGGACAAAGCAACAGGTGCTCACGTGAATTTGAACTGCTCACGTGGATTCGAACTGCTGACCTTTCAGTCAACAAGCCCAGTGGCTTATACCACTGTGCCATCTACTTCCCTTGTTATACCTCTACTAGCATAATAGGCACAATAGGTTTATTGGGTGTTTTTTGGAGTACACATCTCAAAAGTAGACTGGGCTGCCCCTTTAATATGGCTGTTCTACAAGAAAGAAGGGTCTAAAATATGGACCTACCTATAGGAGCATGTCAGTGTTCAACAGTTTTAGATAAACACAGGAGCCAACAGTTCCAACTGCTTATTCTCTGACATTATTCTTGTCTCCAACTCTCATAATGCAGTATCCACAGGTTTGGATTCTAACACCAAATGTTTGTCTCTGTCATCTGTCAAACAACCCACCTATGAGCAGAGGTTCCATCATTTTACAACAGTTTTCTTTCTCATACTGTTTTCCCAGTCGTACATGTATCTTTGTCCTTCCATGGGTGAATATTGATGTGCTAACAGTTTTGCGAGTCTTGATAACAATGTGTTAATGTTGCAGAAAAAGAGGTGTCTTTGATGTGTTAAGTAAATGCATACAAATTATTTTTGATTTAATCAGGTTAATGTCAGTCTCAAAGCTGAAAAGCAAATTACATAGGAAAATATTAAATGTACTTTATTTAAAAAGGCAACATACCTTTAGGAATAGAGGTTAATTTAGCTTCTGCAATTCTGATATGATAGACTGTCACGCCTTCAAAAGCTCCAGGTTCTATCCCTTCATTATCAAGGGGATTTGCACTCATCTCTGCCAAAAGAAAACACTTTATAACAGTTGTGGCTGCTAGGATTGCATTTTTCCCCATGCTTAAAGTTGTGCAGGATTAATAAAGGAAAGAGGTTAAATATGTGCAGTTTTCAGAATTATCAACTTTGGTCTACATATCAGTAGATAGGGGAAAATAGCTTCTGTATGATCTGCAGATAAAGTTGGCCCCCAACATTACTAGATTTGAGGTTAATATGTGCCATGTGGCAAAAGTTCTTGGATTCATGCATTTTTCAAGGAAAAGTAAAATGATGAAATATAACAAAGCTTCTGTCAGAGAATGCCACTCCTAGTTGCATGCAATTCTTTCAAAAAACTTCAATTTTACAAAAAACAATGAATTTACTAAAATTTAAATAATATATTTCTGCAACATGTGATTATGGCCACCAACCTTAGATATTAGAGATTAGATAAACTCATGGACAATAATGCTATCTATGGCTACTAGTCATGATTGCTATATCCTACCACATTCAATTGAGTTTTCTTCTCAATATGATATGTTATTTATTTATAACATTGTGGCCTTTAGGTTGTAAAGCTTGTAGGCAGCAAGACTTTAAATAATACTGGGAATAACAGTGGGAGACAGCTGTTACCCTCTAGTACTGCTTTGAGCTTCCCATAGTCAACTGCAGGGAATTCCCAAGTTACGAACGTCCAAGTTAAGAATAACCCATACTTATGAATGAATTGCCACATTCATACTTATGAATGAATTGCCACAAGGCCTATTAATTTTTTAAAAAAGTACTGCAGAGAATTGTCATCACCATAGAGAGAGAGGAAGCAAAAGGGGAGAGAGAGGGCCTCCAAAGCATCATCATAGAGAGAGGGAAAGCAAAAGGGGAGAGAGGGACGCATCCAAAGTATTCCTTCCTGCTTCACCCATCCATAGAGGGAAATCTCTCAGGTATTTCCTTGTTTCAGAGAGTAGGCCCTGGTGAGTTCAGGAGGAGGTGGGGGCCTAGAGTTATTTGCAGTTTTAACATTTTCATGGAGGTGCTGTGTGCCACCCCTGCATATGTAGTGGGCCTACTACACATGATCCGACTTTGACAAATTTCCATTTTCTCAGGAATTGAACTCATTTGTAAGCCAGGGACTGCCTGTAGTTAGACACTATGGATCACAGGATGCATGACTAGATAGGCCTTTGTGTTTTACTTAGCAGAGCTCTTCCTATATTTTGAATTACTTCATCCATATTAAATTTAAGCCAGGACCTCAAAAGCACAACCTGTTTTCAAAGCCATAGTTCAGTTCTAAAAATATGGTCCTTCAGATCAGGTATAGTGTGCTTTTTTTTTTTTTACAGAACTGCATTTCAACTATCCCTCAAATTGATTCGTAAGGAAGCCAGGCCATGCAGTGGGTTGGATTAGTACCATCCCCTTTGTCATATAGAATCTTCTGTTATATTCTACTTGTATTTCCTCCTACATAAGACACTATTTTAAATAACAAAAGCTAAGGAACTGAATAATAGGAGTGCTTACCTAATGTACTAATAGTATTACTGTTATTAATATTTCCTCCTAAAGGGAGAAGATGGCTGCTCAAGGGCAAATCCAACTGAAGTTATGTTTGTGCAAACATATTCAGTTGGCTTGCATCACACTTGTGACCTCTTGTGCAACTAGCTGCACATTACACAGTGTCTAATATGACACTGGCAATATGACAGTGGAACCAGTTGCCTAGAGAGGGCATGAACTGTCCCACACTAGAGAAATTCAAGGCGAAACTGGGCAGGCAGTCTGAGTGGGATGGTGTGACTTGGCATCCTGCACCAGCAGGGGGTTGGACCCAATCACTTTCTTGGCCTTTGCCTTCCAACCCTACTATTCTTTGAATTAATGAAAACCCATTGTACCCATTGTGGGTTTGTGCAACTGGTTGTGAAAGCAAACTGAAAGACAATCTGAAAGATTCGTCCAGTAGTGCTGATGAATTTACATTGACATTGTTGCATAAAACCCCATGGTTTATAACAAACCACAGTAATTCTGGGCTTGTTATAGATTTTATTTTTTAAAAAATACCTGGGGGCTAACATCATAAAGATTATATTTTTCAGCCATGTGTAGAAAGCAGGTCTCAAAACTATATTGCAGTAGTAGATGGTACTGTCAACTAGACATTTGCAGAACAATTTATTGTAAAACACAACCTTCTTATTTGCTTGAGAAAGATTGCTTAACTACTGTAGTGTTTGGTTTCAGCAGTACAAACTGTAGTATTTCGTTTCTACAAAATGCTGAGGCTTCAGTCTAGAATGTATTTGTGTGTCAGTTCCTAGCCTGGAGCAATCCAACACACTCTTTTGGTAATGATCAGTCTATCAGCTCCTTACCTGCTGGTAAAAATTTCAACCCCTTTTAGAAGGGTAAACCATAATTATAATGGCACAACTTTATTTTATTTTTTTTAAATAATAATGGTGAACTGTACAAAGATTTTGGAATGCTTCTTAGAAATATTAACTGGACAGAGTGGTTCCTACGAAGTTATAGGATTGTTCGCTTGTCTACTTTTGTGCTGGATGATAGGCTTCCTTACCATTTAGAAAATGTATGTGGCGAGTAACCAATGTACTGATTTATAGACCACTTAAATTCAAACTATGCATTCTGTCAGAACTACAGTTACTTGCCTACCAGAGCAGCAACAGTTTTGTAGCTTCCAGCAGACATTGTTATGAAGGATGCATACCAAAATCTGCAGTTGAATTCTAACCCGGGAATGCTTCAACAAAATTTACACAGATAAATACTGTAAAAAATCTATTTTTAAAGCTCACTATATTTATATATTGACTTGTTATCTGTAAGCATATTTTCTATGGTCTTCCAAATTCAGCATTCAGCCTAATACAGAGTAATAAGTAACTGGTATTCACCATTGCTATATATTTCTGTTTCAATATATTGATCCTGAAACAATTGTTTTGAACAACGAGAGTATAACTGTTGCTCATGGTCTAGTACTAATAATCTATTCCAGCATCCTTAATCACATACCTATTATCGTGTCATTAGCTCCATTTGGCCAAGTATGCAGACAGCTCCTTATTTAGGAGGTTCTGCCTGCTGCCTTCCAAGCATAACTGTTTTGACCCCTGCTTTCATCTAGGATTTATTTACTTTCCCATTTCCATCATACTGCTAATAGCTGGAATAATTATCAGGTGTACTTTCCCCCTGATTTTTATACAGCAGCCTAATGTGAACAGCACACTTACCTAAAACATGTAAAGCTTTCATTCCTTTAAATGCTTCTTTGTGTATCTTTTTAACCTTATTATCATGAATTCTTAGTTCAGCTAAACTTTTTGGCAGATTTTCTGGGATTTGTGTTAAATGGTTATGTGACAAGTAGAGGCGCCGCAACTTGTTTGTTGATCGAAAAGCTTTGGGGTGGATCTTGGTTATTCTGTTGTTGTTCAAAGCAAGTGCCTAGACGAAATATGAAAAGATGAAGTTAGAAAATGTGAATTACTTTTAAGCCTTCCACTTAGGGTGCAACTAGTATATATATTTTTTAAATTGCGTGGCTACATTTCATTTCATACAATGCAACCCGTATGCATTGCAAGACATTTAAACTATTCTCCCACAAAGACAAGGAATAGGAATTTTCTAATAATCATATGTGAGGACATGTAGATCCTTAGGGCACAATGTGATGCAAGTTTAGACAGAACAGCAATCTTACAGTTCCTAGCATTCTCTGACTAGCATGGCAGGGGAATTCTGAGAGTTGTGGGACTTTTTCTGTCAAAACGTTCATAGGATTTATGCCCTTATCTTTCAAGATAGCCAAGCTGACCATTTTTTCCCTGACTAACTCAAGATATGCATAACGTTTCTCTATTATCTCATAAATACTTGCTCAGCAAACAGATTTTTAAATAATAATGCCAAATGTTTGTTGGTCCTTGAAATTTGTAATCATTTGATTTCTAATTTAAATAGTAGCATAAAGAAAATGCTTTTTTAATGAGGCCAATACCCTAGTTTTGGTTCAGGATTCTACTGACTACCCATTCGTCTGGCATCCAAGCCACTAGAAACCTTATATGAAAACATACATGCACTATTTTTTAGTTAGCTGTACTTTGACAAATGTATTTTGTGGAGTCTTCCAAGAGATGGAATTAATTTGTTCACCACCACCACCACATGTATATCCTGTCTTCCTTCCTCTTGTGAGGAACCCAAGTAGCTTACATAACTCCATTTTACTTTCACAGCAACAACCCTGTGTGATAGCTAAGTGTGAGTGACTGGCCCAGTGAGCTTCCCAATGAGAACCCAATGAGCTTCATGGCTGAGTGGGGACTAGAATCTGGATCTCCCCAGTCCAACAAGTTAACCACCCAACCGCACTGGCTCTCCTGTTTATCCTGAGTAAATTTAGTTAACATAATTAGATTGCAAAATACTTCTTGAAAACATATTATACACAAATAAGATATTTAGGTGGTGGTGTAAAGAAATCTGTTCTTTTTATAGATTGATGAAATAATTAAAATATATTGAGCAGCACTGTATATAGAAAAATGTTATTTGTGTTTCAGATCAAATAATAATGGATTTTAACATCACTTTTACTTCTCTTTGTGACTTTCTTTGCATGTCTTTTATGTTATTACAAATACATTGACCTGAAATATGATAGGTTGCCATGGTCTATGATTGAGAGGAATATTAGAACCTTAGAAAGTAAACTTACATACAGTGATGTGAGTCCTCTGAGATCATTTTCCTTGACCTCTTTTATTTTATTGTTTTGAAGATCTATCATACGTGTATCAAATGGAATATTCTTTGGTATTGAGGTCAAACCTATATATTAGGAATAAAAAAGAAACTTAAATATACATCTACAAATGGAAGGGCACTAAAACCTCCAAGTAGTCAATAAATATAAATGTTGCCTCACCAGATGAATTATATAGGTTGGTTTCCTATATATATCAGATTTTTATAGAGTGCATCAAATTAGACTAATTATACAGTAAGTGTATGTGTGTCTAAGACTTCATGCAGCCTGTGTGCGGGGAGGAAAACTTTTTCTGCAACCCCAAGTACTTCCAGATGTACACCAGGGTTCCATAATCACTTCTTCCTTCACTGGCAACTCATGTTGCTCTAGAGAATTTTCCAATATCCAGCATGGCTTTTTGAGGAACACAGGAAGATTTGTGAATTGTTTTGAACACGTAAAATACCATCCAGGGTTCCTACTAAAACAGAATTAATTCTATGCAAAATATATGAGGACAGTTTTATATAACTGCTTCATACAACAATAAACCTCAAGAATGTTCTAAACATGTATGCATATGTATATGAGTTGAAGTCAAAAGCAATATAAAAAGATGACTGCCTTCATTTTTCCTCTGAATAGTGATGTGATGTGACGTGTCCATAGCTATCTTTTGTAGTACTTAACCTCAGTTCAAAAGTGGTTTCTCTCTGTTTAGGATAAAACTAACCACCTGGTTGACTGGTTGGTTTTTTTTGCGGGGGGGGGGGCAAAATGGATAAAATGGACTGTAGCATGTGAATGTAAACTGCACAATAAATGTGCAGTTTCTATAGAGGTACAGAAAAACATCCCTAAGTGCTTGCATGCCTCAGCCCTGTGTTCATCTGTAAGATACATCAAGAATTCCCCCCCACCTCAAACTAAATATTTTAGTTCATGTAGAAAAAGTGTCATTCTGATAAGGGTCCTTTCCTGTCCCAGGAGAATAATTGCCTTTCATGGCCACCTGTGAAGGAGCTTAGGATTCACCTGTTGTTGCATCATCTTGGTGCTTGGGAAGGTTTTGTAAATGGAAGGAGATGGAGAACTCAGGACATTCTAGAGTGGGGATGCCACTTTTGTTTGCTTGAGTTCTGGATGACTAGTCACAGCTATTCCTATGAGCTTGGTGAATTGCAACTATCAATAAAATCATGTGCGAGCCCTGCAGGCTACCAATGATCCTGACTTGTTTTCTAGTGATATTAGTGGTAGGATGGGGATTGGTCACAGAAGTTGGAGAACTGGAATCAGTTTACAATTTATTAAGGTGTTCAGCAGGGTTTTCAGCATCATAAGTCAATACCTGGTAAACCTAAAGTATGTTAGAAAGACTGCTTAGCATTGTTTGATTACACTCTTTTTGAGAAATGGCTTGATGCTAGATTGGCAGGGTTGACAGTGTTGGCTGGAACAGAGGCAGACATAAAAGATAGTAAAGCAGTTATTTCCCATGACTTGTATTTATTTTTGTGGTGTCCAAAGAACCTTAATACCTTGGTGCTGGCAGCTGATGGAATAGTCCCTTCAAGCTTCTGTTCTTGTGCAAATTCATCTCTAAACTTTAAAGGCAATCAGTAAAAAAGAGCTGTCTCAAAATAGTGCTATTGCACAAAAGTCTGTTGCATATGTATAGAACTATGTGAGTGTGAGGGGGGTATGTGTATTCAAACAAGCATAGTTCAGTTGAAAACAACATACAGATTCTTAACCTTACCCAAATCAGAACAGTGCACAACCCTTGAGTAGCACTGACATCCAAAGGGACATACTGGAAATAAGTCAAAGGGAATTAAGGGTTTCCCATTTGGAAAAAGTGAATTGTCATCATCCCTGTCATCATCGTCATCCTTGTCATCATCATCTTCGTTATCCAGGTCTTCCATATCCATCAGCATTATGTTCTTGAACTTGAAGTATGAAGGGCTTATGAAAGGCTTGGCAGAGCACAAACCAAAGAGAAGCAGCAGCATGTATTTTCTCATGTCTTCAGAGTGCACACTCCTAGAGCAAAATACAACAGTGAATGCAGAATGAAAAATACATTCACCAACTTTATTTTACCATGCTAGTTAAAATTAGGGAAGCTGCTACATATAAATGCCACACACACCAGTATTTGCTCATTTATGGAAATCTGCTTTCTTTGGATGATTACTATTTGTTTACTTGTATATTTTCTTTCTAGACACTTTATTGCTATGGAGAGTGTGACCGTTACAATGCAGCATGTCTATACCATAAATAAGATCTTGGGCTTGGAAAGCTGAAGTTGTGAAAGCAGGGAGAGGAACTTGGGCTCAGTGAACTGGGCTGGGGTGGGTTAGGGAGGCTTATAGTTGCTTTTCTCTACCTGTCAGGGCCACAGTAGCCGAATTATCTTTCAAACTGCAGCATACTGTTTGAAAGGTAATTTACACCAGTCCCTGCTTAAAGCATGGTCATCCTTCCAGCATTCCCTCTACCCTATCAAACTATGCAGTTTAGTCCACAGGGTGTCAGAAGGAGGATATAGTAGCACTGTTTCAAGGTGAAACCAGAAGTAGCCAAAGCTAAAGGAAGTGCTTGTGGGTTTTCTGCTCCTCCTCTTTTTGTGTAGTGCTAGTAAAGAATAGACAGAGCTCTAAGTGAAAAGCAGTACTACTTTACCAAACATTCAACCATTTTTTATTTCTGTGCTGTCTTCTTATGTTAAATCAATCATTCTTTGCGTAAGAAGTTCTTAACATTTTTCTTAACTGGCTGTACTGTACCGGGAATTGGATGCTCAATACAGAACTGTAAAGATAAGTTATGAAATAGGGTTTTCCAGCCCATAAAGAGAATTATTATTATTATTATTATTATTATTATTATTATTATTATTATTATTATAATAACATTTCTATGCCGCCCCTTGCCGAAACCTCGGGGCGGCTTACAACATGATAAAATATAATATATAATGCATAAATCTAAAGTGAGCCATGGTTAAGATATTGGGATTTGGAGGAACACAGTGAGAAATAAGATAGTAGGTGTGACATTTCAAGGTGGCAGAGATTGTATCTTGAATTCTATACCTCTTGATAGCTAGTGTAGTTCTAATACAGAATTATTTAAAATTTCAAATAAGATTAGCTTAAAAGTCAGGAAAATTAAATTGGTCTCTGAATCTTTGGAAGTTCATGAGTATACACCTGTGTTTTAGAGAGGCAAACATAGCTGTTTCAGATATGGGATGAGCTGCAATTGGCAAAACTCAAGACCACATTCCTTGATACACTATAGATATCTTTCATGTATTCTATATGTACATATCTTAAAGCATGTACATGCACTTTAAAAGTAATATTGGAAACAGAGCTCTGCTGCTGGATCCAGATAGTTGTTCAGCACCTCAGCAGCACCCTGTAACTGTTAACCAGACAGCAGCCGGAGTACGTTGTTGCTTGAGATGGAGTATAGCACTGAAGGTGTGCAAAGCGTCTGCTAAACCAGTTCAGTAAAAACTGAAAGGGCGATTCAGGCCTCCTGCACTGCATCAGGCTTGCCCCTCTGGCAAGAGTGTACACCACTCTCCCGCATTACTGCATTTGGTTGTGTTTAGAATTAACTCATTCATGGAAATGTGTATCCTGTTGATTCATGTCCATAGTTAGGCAACACAACAAAGAATACTGAGTCACTTTTAGGACTGACGCATGTGTTACTAAGTTTTCAGGACCATAGTTCAGTTGCTTAGATACAACTATGTTAAGTAAGCTCAACACTTTTTTTAATCCATCATTTCACTTCTTACCGTGAAGGAACTGTTATTTATTTCTGTGGAATTATATATATTTGGCAGAATAGGACAAATGTGAGAATATATAAAACAAACATTTTGGCCTGGAGCATTTCCTCTTTACTGTCTCTTTTACAGTTGAACAGGTAAGAAGGGCAAACAGCTGAATGAACAGCTTCTGCTGTCAGTATTAGTGACCTCCTTTGAAAATGTTCTTAGACTTATGTTTTGACTTGAGGCTACAGAATATTTAACCTCTAGCCTACAGCAGTCTTGCCTAATACTGTATGCTTTGGACTCCAACTCCTGTCAGCACCAGCCAACATAGCCATATTCAGGAATGATAGGAATCATCCAAAAGGCACTATATTGGTTAAGGCTGGCCAGCATTAATTTCAGTGGGTTTATAGAGTACAGTATACAAAGACACAGTAGATATGCAAGATAGATATTCCCACACATACATGGTGTGCTTGAAGGGGGGGGGGGGCACACACTAAAGGAGCAACAAGGTCGCAGTGCTTTGTCCAGCCTGAGCTCCACATAGGCATCTGCAAGGGGAAAGCCTACACGTGCAGATTTCCCTCTATGCCATCCACTGGGTCACGTCAATAACATTTTCCTTCTATTACATGGCTCCTCCTTCACATTTGGAACATGAATAGGGGGCTTTTATCTGTATCCGAAAGAGATGGTGTTCGTTTTTCCTTGCTGGAAAATGCCTCTGGCCACCGTTGTTATTGCCTGGTTTTCTCCTTAAGCAATTATATCGTTCCATTTGCCTTAGAGCAATTTCGTAATGCAAACCCAAATTTGCCACTGTGTGTACACTTCACAAGGACATTTAAAATATACTGCTTGATGAGCATGATGTGTGAATCAGTGGAAAGTGTTTACTTGTTGCAGTCACATATATTTTCAGGTGTATATTTATAGTATCTCAGAAACCACTGTCAAGCAACAGTTTTACATGTGCAAACCAAAAAAAACCCCACAATAGAGCATTTAGAAAGGCAAATCAAATGGAATGCATGGAAAATGTGAGATGTTGTCTGACAGTAAAACCCTATGCATGTCTGCTTAAAAGAATGTCCCACTGAGTTCAGGAGAAGGTCTTTTAAGCATACTTTTTCTCTTTAAACATACATGAGTAATTTTTACAAGACATCTAGCAGTATCCAATGGTACCCTTCATATTCCCCTCTTCTTCCTTGCATGTACCTCCTGTATCTGGTCCAGAGGACAGGGAGACCCATTGGAGAGTGGCTGGGGCATATACAGGGACTACAGAGGAAGAAGTGGAAAAGGAGCTCCTAAGAACATAAGAAAAGCTATGCTGGATCAGACCCAAAGTCCATCTAGTCCTGCACTCTATACACATCATGGCAAATCCACAGGATCCCTCAACTCAGATGAGTGCAAGACCTCCTCCAGCTGAATCTCCTCAGCAACTGGTGTATAGAGACACACCAGCTCTAATAGTGGAGTTGGCACATAACCAGCAAGGCTAGTAGCCACCGATAGACTCCTCTTTCATAAATCTGCCCAATCCCCTTTTAAAGCCATCAAGACTGGCAGCCATCACCACTTCCCATGGCAGCAAATTCCATAGTTTAACAAAATGCTATGTGAAGAAGTATTACCTTGTAACTGTCCTAAACTTCTCACTGGTGAGCTTCATGGGATGACCCTGGGTTCAAGTGTTATGGGAGAGAGGAAAAAAAATAGTTTCCCTCTCCACTTTCTCCACACCACACAAACTTTTAAACAAGTCTCTCATGTCTCCCCTTACCATTTTTCTAAGCTGTCCCAGCTGTTGTAGATGCTCTTCATAGGGGAGCTGCTCCAGCCCCCTGAGTGCTTGTGTTGCCCTTCTCTACTTTTTCCAACTCAGTAATGTCCTTTTTCAGGTAAGGTGATCAGAATACTGGTCACAGTATTCCACGTGGAGTTGCACCAAATATTTGTATAAGGGAAGTAAGATTTTGTCAGTTCTGTTTCACATTCTGTGCCTAATTGTGCCTAGTATGGAGTTTGCCTTCTTCAGCTGAGCAGTGGGCTAACATTTTTATCAAGCTGTCACCACTACCCCAAGATCCCTTTCTTGCTCAGTCACTGCTGGCTTAGATCCCTGTGCTGTATATTTGAAGTTGGAATTTTTTGATCTCAACATGCATTACTCTACATTACTGTATTGCATGAGTCCACTCATGTAACATTGCATTCCACCCAGTAGTCTTATTGTTTAGCTGGGGTTATGTCAAGTCGTGCCAAGTTTATCATCCTGTAAACTAGATTTTTTTAAAACTGAGATATTGCAAGGTATTCTACCAAGTTCCAACAGGGTCACAGCACAGGCAATTTCTCCATATTAATATTTAGTACAAAAGGCAACACAATTCATTATAAGTTATATTTTAAAGTTGCATGTCAGAAAACATGTATTTAATGAGCTGCAGAACTTATAATTAACTTATAAACAAACCATGTGCTATGCTGCACTATTTCAGGTGAAAATTTTAAAAAGCAGTATGAAGTATTTCACCTAAATTAACATAACTGATTACCAGTCATTAGGATTATATGTAATATCACCATACTTGCCTACTGACAAAATGCTAATTACAGAGGGTTTAATCCAGCTGCTCTACAGAGGAGGGGGCAACTTTCACTGATTCCCCTTCTGCCTCCCCCCCCATCCCCATCAGCAACCTATTCCAGAAGGTTGGGGCAATCTTCTAGAACAATGGGAAAGATGGCACAAGAGCTGCTGAGTGAAGGAAAAGTGAGCAAAAATGATCCTCTGTTCCCCTAGTAGAGCCCTTCATTAGATGAAAAGCCCATCAATAAACAGAAGTTTTATTCTGTTCCTGTTGGAGAACCATTGGACAGAACCAGAATTTGGCCATACATAGTATCTATTTTAATAATAGAGAATAAAGGATTTTCACACAGGGGATTTAAAAGGTAAAGAGGCAAGTTTACCACCAGTCTGAAGCTGGGTGCACACAATGTGGTCACCAAAGCACTCTGCCAACAAGGAAATGCTGGCTTCCTTGTGGAGAGGCATGGGGAAACCTTGTGTTTGCTAGTAACCTCAAATCATTGCCCTGCACAAAAACTGACTCTATAGAAGGAAATAGGAACCCCAACCAGTGAATTTGTAAGTAGTTCAGCATCTACTGAGCATTAATACTGTATCCCTTAAAAACTTCTACAGTGTTGTATTTTTAAAAATCATACAGAATAACAGATAAAATCATTAGCTTCCAAGGCACAAAGGTGAATAGAACTCTAAAAATGCTAATTGCATAGCACTACAAGTTCAAACATTGGTTTAAATGCAGAGACTTTTTTCCCCTTTGAAGGAATTAATTAACTTCATCTGTTCAAAACATCAAAGATGATACACTCTGTACTGCTTCCATGACATTTTGTCAGGCAGTAAATTGTTTTGTTTTGTTTTCTGTTTTCAAATATTGTTTTGCTTTGTGGTAGGATTCAAATTTGTTTGAGTTGTGAATTCCTGGAAACTTGGCAATTTAAAAATATCAGTAAGTCTGCAATTCTGTATGCACTTACCTGAAGGAAAAACATTGAATTTAATAGGATATCTCTGAATAGACATGCATAGAATTGTACTATTGGATCATTCCTTTTCTTTCATACTAAAGTATAAATATTCTAGGACATACCAGTTCAGAGGGTACAGTTTGTTTTTTCTTTCTTGTTCACACTCTAAAAACATTTTAACTACAATGCATAGTCGTCTAATATTTAATTTAAAACACTGAACATTAGCTAGTTAGGTTATTACTGATAAAAGCATGTTCTAAATTACAACAATGATATGTTGATGAAAAGTTTAAAAAAACATACCTTGCAAGTTTGTAAAGTGCTCCTAAATACAGTATTCCACCTGAGAAATTTATTTCCAGTTCCTTACTATACAGAACTCAGATTTAAGCCTGTAAAATTAACAGTAAATAAGAACAAGGTAGAAATCACTTTAAAGTTCCTGCTCCCCCTGGCACTCTGAGTGATACTTGAATAAACTGCTTCTGTGGATTAGTCTATCTTGAGTACTGAAGAATGATGTCAAAAAAAACTTGTTACTACTCATGTGTTTTTCATCACTGCCTGTATCTTGGCCAAAACTTCTAGCTTAACTCCAGACGCCTAAGCAAAAGTTGTGGTTAAATTTGAAGCTTTAATAATGGATGGCATAAAGCCAATGCAAGCCCCATATGGTTCATTCAAGTCCATTTCTGATATACAAATACACACCTCATAAAAACACTGCAACAAATCATTTCTTACATACATCTATATGCAAAAAATAATCAAAAACTGGCAACTTCTTTGAAATACAGATCCTGTTTAGGGGAGTAGCAATAGTGCCAAGGGAAAGGATATGTAAATAAGCAAATGATGTACTGTGTCTCAATATAATCTTATATTTATTTTAAAAACTACTGCTGTGCCTCTCAAGCAAACAGTGAATGCCTACTGGGAAGCATATTGAGTTGTCAGACATGCCTTCCCTGTAAAATGTGCCTAATTAAAAGTTATGTACTAAATATAGTTCTTTATTCAACTAAATGAAGCAGGACACAATGAATTGTAGCAAAACATTTTACAAAACAGAAGAATTTCCAGTGCTTTATTTTTACACACACACACAATCTCTTTGTATTTTTATATTTAATGGTAATTTATTATGTACTATTGTATTTCAATGTATTTTATCATGTTGTAAGCCGCCCCGAGGTTTCGGCAAGGGGCAGCATAGAAATGCTATAATAATAATAATAATAACAACAACAACAACAACAACAACAACAACAACTTCATTATTAGCAATGACTATATGCCAACTGCAAATAAGTCATTAGGCAAGCTTTGCAGGTTTGAAGTTGTAATTGATATTACATGTGTGAGGGAATACATACATGTCATTGAAATATGGCTCAAGGTAACTAATGAGTAGATATAGTAAAACTGAAGATGCCTCAGCAATCATCATGGAAGAGAGTGGAATACTGACATGAGTGACTAGTTGTTAGCATATCATGTACAGTTCTTTGGGTTTCTTTAATTAATTAGTGTGGTCTTCCACAACTGGTGTCCCCCAGATGTATTTGTCTGCTACTTGCAGCATCCCCCTCCAGATCTGTTGGGCAAGAATTGTCAGCTGCCAACCAGCCATGCTGGCTGAACGTTGCTCAGTGTCATAGCCCAACATATCTGGAGGGTAGCAGGTTGTTGAAGACTGTATTAGTCTATTAAGGTTTCAGTATCTTGACTTCTTTCTTTTAATTAATGTATGAGGAGGAAGTACATGATATTTTTTACAAGGATTCCAATAAAAAGGGCTACACAATATAACATTTAAATCACACTGAATGGGATTTAATTTTTCCTTTCCAATACTTCAGGTCAAATAATCATGCGAATGAGGAGGGATAAAGACAATAATGGATACTTTTTAAAAGTTCTGTTGTTTATTTATATTCAGAAAATATGAGAAGTCACTTTCTAGTGGCAGTGCCTACTGAAACTTTTTCAGTGCAAGTACCCTAGGTCAATTTGCATAATTTGCATAAGCTAATGCAATTTCCAGTGTCTGGAAAAACAACACCACTGTTAGGCACTGATACTAAAAGACCACCACAAGACAATTAGAAAGAAGTCGGAACATAAGACTGAATTAGATTGTTGAGGCCACCATGACATGATCTCCATCAGTTTTTTTAAAGCTTACTGTCCAAGATCATAAGAACTGGTCAACTAAATCTGTATACTCAAAAGGAGGGTTGGAACATGTGTTTCTAGAACAGCACTCACTGTCATGCCCATAGAAAACCCTTTTAAACTTGAATACTCTAAAGCAGATTGTGATATCATAAGGGTAGGAGGTCTTGTATTCAAAAGGGAGCGCTCAAGCATCGCACTCAGTTTGCCCAAGGATGTGGGCATGCTTTTTAATGGGACTAGTCCAAGTCTCCAAGAAACAGAGAACAGAGGGACATGGGCAGACATGGTCATACATGGGCAGAGGGGAAACAAAGGAAAGGGTCTTGCAGATTCACTGTGGAACATTTTGTTTCAGGGAGGATTGTTCTGCACCTTTCAGACTAATTGATATGGAGTTTAGAATGCACGTAGCCTTTGGATTTTGCACTTATCCAAATTCTGCAGTGTGGTTCTCTGCTAAATCAAGAACCAAAATGTGTATCTTGTCATGGTTAAATTTGAACATTGAGATAAAATGTTAAATGAACTTATGTAGACCAGAACAAGTAGCCCAATCTGTTCATCTGGAATGGAAGTTCCATGTCTTAAATTCAAGATTGCAGATCTTTAACTGAATCATTATCCTATTATACTTATCCCTATTATATATATAACAGTGCAAATATTCAGCATCAGGTTTCATGGCACAGCTGTTTATCTGTTTAATGAGCACTGCATTTCAAAACTTGCTTTAAAATAGAGACATGAACAACCTATGCAATAAATCCTTCTAATGGAAGAGACTGACAACATAGGGTTTAGTTTTGAACTATGCTTTGTAAAATTAGTAACTGTACATAATAAACTTTTATATGTCATTTCAGCAAAAGAATAAACTATCACACAGTATTTTTACTTGGCTTTGGTAATAGACTTTCAATAAGGAGTATCCTTGATTTTTTTTAAATTTAAAGCTACCATATATTAATCATGTAACATTAAAAAAATCTGTTACTTTGATCCAATAACTATACAGTACAGTCATGTTTTAAAATTAGCATATTATCAGAGGTCACAATGGTCTTTTCATAACTTGAATAGTATTGAAGGGTTATTTTCATGTAAAAAGCAGAAAGGGAAAACTCAATCCTTTTGTAAAGCAGTCACTTCTCTAAGAACTGTGGGTATGTCTCCTTGGGTATGCTCAGGCTATAACACCTGTTACTACATGCTGATTCTAGCTGAATAAATATAATATTTAAGCTAAACTAATCAATTTAGTTAATTAATTCAGAACATTAGCACTGATTTAAAATATTTGATCTAGTTTATTAACCTGGGAACAAATAGGACTCATATCCTTGCTTAATATCCTGGTTAGATAAGCCATTAAACCAGAGCACCCCCTTTTGAATGTAATAGGCTACTCTCATTTAAAACAGGTCAGAATCTCTGTGCCAATTTGATTAATGAAGGGAGGGGTAAGGGAGCATAACTCAAACCTAATGCTCATTCCTGGCTTTATAAATCATGCTCTATGCAGCCTGTAACGTTTATTGTCTAATCAGGCCTTTAATGGAAATACCACTGGATTATGCAATAATAAATTGTCAATAGATAGCAATAGATATTTAGGATGCCTGTCAAAATTACAATATAATTAGCCCTGTTAAACACCTCTAAAATATTTAAGTATATTTTTGTCCCTTTTCTTTAAACACTCAGGTAACATTTGGATTCCATTTTTAAAAGGATACTTTTGTATGAACACCTTATGAAGCATTTTTCCCTGCTATTTTTCCAATGTTTTGTGAATGTAGTACAACTTGAAAGTACAAATTCTCTGTTTCTGGAGCTAGGCCAAGATGTTTTCATATATGACATAGTCTTCAAGTTATATATTTTGGCTTTAGTATAGTCTGGCTTCTTTAAAACAGGAGCACATTGTGCTTCTTCGTTATGGAAAATTCATTATTCCAGTTCTGTGGTTATGTTTGATCTTTCACCATTTGTAGACTAGCACAAGCACATTTTATTTATATAAATATTTACATAGCCACACATGGGGCACAGAAGCTTTAATATCTCTTTATTCATAAATGTATTCAGATATACTTAAACTTGTTTCAGAAGATTTGGCTTACATACTATAACTTTTTCATCAGTGTTTCAGTGCTTTTAAAAAATATTGAAAGAATGAAGTATTTATATTGAGATATTTTAGCATACTGTGTTAGATGACCAGAAAGTATGGAAGGCCAGCCATATGATTCCATACCTCACCTCCCAAGATTCTTGCATTCAGATGAGAAATATACGTATTTAGAATTTTAAACTGTTTCTGAAAGCAAGGCTTGCTGTTGTGGATTGCTTGGTGTATACGTACTTATGAGATTTCTGGATACAAGGTGTGTTCTCATGCTTCTTCATGGTTGTATTTGATGCTATGACTAACTGCTGGTCTAGGTAGGATCCTACTCACAAGCCTGTCGAACCGTTATTTTCAGTACTATGTTTTGGTTAACACTGTTGCTTTGAAGAAGAATAATATTTCACCATTATAAAGCAAATGCTTCCTGTCCTGAGGCACCTGACTCTTCTCCATATGTCATATTTGCCTCTCACTGGCCTTAAATGGTACAGACAGCCCCACTCTCCAATTCTTGTCATACAAGATCCATAACAAGGAAACGAATACAGGGATCGGCCCCTAGAACAAATTCAAAGAGAAACTTTTTCCCTTATATCTACCCTAAAAACACTTTCTTACAAGCTAATAATGTTACTTATAGCATTAGCAGCTTATTCACTTTTTCATCTTTCAATGTGCTATATTCTATCTACAGTCAGCTTTATTTATTTATTTGAAACATTTTTACCCCATCCAATGTGGAAAATGTCTCAGGATAGCTTACAATAATTAAAAACAGTCATAATTACAATAATAATAATTTCAATAAAACAATAATAATTACAATGATTAAGACAATAAATAACAAAACAATAGCATTCATAAACCCACCAAAACAAAAACAAAATGCGACTGTTAAAACCATTTAAAATCCCTTAATGTTGAAAAAGATGGGTGAATAAAAAGGTTTTTACCTGGCTCCAAACCTCTCCACAGTCTGGGTGCCACCACAGAGAAGGCCCTCCTCTGGGTAGACATCCTCTTTACCTCCTTTGGGGAGGGTTCCTGGAGCAGGGCCTCTCCTGCCAATTTTAAGGAGCGTGAGGGCATATAAAGAAGACATTACTTCAGGTATCCTGGTCCCAAGCTGTTTAGGGCTTTATAGGATAGCACAGTACCCTAAATTGG